CCACGGACCTTCCGGTGAGTAAATTTCGCGCTCTACCACTTGGGCCATCTCTCCCCCGCCATTTAGTATAGGACCCACTTGAAACCTTCGAGAGAGGGCAGTTTGTCGTGACAGTTACTATTGAGGGGAGGGGTATCATGGTTAATACGCTTCGGCAGACTGTTTATCGGGTAAAACTGGTTTCAGGAGTCAAGCAACAGTTAGCAACAAGCACACGCGGTTTTAGAAACTAGTAAGCAACCCACACCGCTCGAAGAAAGAGCACATCACTTTTGTCATAAAAGGACCCTGAACCAGAAGAAAAATTGGACTGATTGCAATCGCCAAGAAAGTGGACGATGATTCATAAAAGACAACCGTACATAGTTTTGGGCGACAACGAACGAACTGAACAAAGGTACCGCAGCAAAATGTTCTGAACCATCAAAGGTAGTTTAGAAGAAGAGTCTACCGACCATTCGCTAGTTCTTGCTAATTTCGTCATTTCGTGAAACATCTGAGTAAAACTCGGACGCACAGAAGACTGGACAAAAGCTGCCCTGTGACAATCTAGTTCCGCAGGTTTACTCGGCATGAAGTACGAATATGTAAGAATGAAGATTAGCCCAGAAGCCTGTTGGCACCCAAACACAAAATCTATTCGTTTCATACATGCTACCTACTGCAGACCACACAAGGGGAGATGAACATTTTGGGAAATGGGGCAACTCACTCTATTTGCCGGCATGTTTGGAAGCTCCATTTGTATCCAAAGAAGACCGACGCATAGAAATACACCAAGGAATAGCACCTCGTACCTGCGGTTTATAAGCAAAGGTCAAAGTGAGTGTGGTGAACAAAGCTTGCCGCTCGAAAAGGAACAAAACGGAGTGCAAGACAACGTATGCTGATCGCGCTTCACTAGGTTTCAGTGTGAACCACCTCGAAACTCTGTCAAAGCAAAAGCGTTGATAGTTGAGTGATTTGGAGTATGCGAGTGTGTGCAAAGGAGAAGAATCATGAAACACACAGTCTGGTAACCAGAATCTGTCGCCTACCATGTTTCATTTTCTGACTGCTGACTATCTCAAGCTCAAAGGTTAGCCAACCAGCATGAACTACCTGAGAATTCGAACATCATGTGCACAAAATTACTTACAATTTGTTAGAGAAGTGACTAGTTTTTTAGGTATAGGTGATAGGCGGAACATGATTCAGTTTTGGGGACTGGCTACAATCTAAATTCATCTAAGTCATTGTAGGAGTCTAGCCCTGCTTCGGCAGTTTGTGACTGTGGCAGTGATGTTTTGAATTGGATTTCTATCCTCAAGTCTATATAAAAAACTGAGGAACACCTGTAGCGGACTCAACAAGTACACGGACAGTCAAGGGAGCTCACTGCGTCAGCACACTCCACGCACCACTCTCTGTCATCACACTGTTCAGCAATTTCATCGTTACTGCCAATCAGCAGTAGTGCGAATCCCACATGAATATTGAAGTAAATACCAACTTATAACCTGACAGATGAGAACATAGCCGCCAAAACATTCAGAGACGAGTGATTGGTTGGCGGCATAAGCGAAGCGTCCACCACTTATCGTTCACCATTCATCAGAATAATTACGCCAGGAGAGGAGGAAGACCGTCAGAGTGATGTGATGTTGAACTCTGCAGGTCCCGCAAACATCTACAACTTGCCAAAAAAATTTCCGGCAGGTTTCAAGAATCTGTGGAGCCACCTGACTGGAAGTCCTGACAGGCGGGTCAATCGATCGACACAACCAAGCCAGTTGTTGGGTCGCTATTCGGTAAGTCGGACAAGCTATGAACATGTTCACCAATTCAGATGCCTCCAGTGTGCGTCGATGGAGTAGTGGTAGTACGCTAGCCTCGAATGTCAGATGTTTGAAGTTCAAACTCCGGCAAGGCCAAGGATGTGCGCTGCTGATGAGTTCTTATGGGAGGGAAATTCGATTCCAGTGCTTGTCCCCTTTGGGGTGGACAGGACAAGAGGACGACCTTCCAAACGACAGTAATGTGAACGCGGTTCATCCATACTACCTGATATAGACCGGCGAGTGACGAATTCCTAGGGCAGAGCTTCTGTGACCTGTGGAATCTTGACCTTCCCAATGTAATCCCATCATACCTCCGAGGAATAAGCACCTGAAAAACAATCTCCCGTTGTGAGCAGATTGTCAACAGCCGAAACAGTAGCAATCTGGTCATCCCACCGTGTGCGCATGGACGGTTTGTACAATAGTCAAACCTTGAAATCATTGGCCTGTACTATATCGCTTTGAAGCAGAGGTTTAGCAAAACTACGAACACCTCTTAACATCGGACACGTGTGTTATGGACCACTACATGTGCGACAAGAGTATTAGCCAGTCAAAACTAGGCTTCTATGAAGCACCAGAACACTGCTTACGTAGACCTACGAAATTCAAGCGATATACTCACTGCATACTAATCTGGTCTTCACGGAAGACGAACCTGGAACCTAGCGGAATCTCTAGTTTATGGTGTTGTTCGTCACAAGTTGTTGAGCCAAAAATGACTGTGAGGGCTATCTGGATGAGGCACCCTTTCTATGAAGAAAGCCATACTCTCTCAGAAGAGTGACTCTCTGCATTCGTCAGGCTGCCCCAAAAGCATAGAAAGCTTCTGGATTGCGATAATTCAAATGGCTTGTTGCCCTAAAGTCAGTATTGCCCATCAGACATTGAAGTATGTAAGCTGGTCTTAACAGTGAGAAAGAAAACCAGGAAATACAAAGGTGACAAATTATGAAAAGTAGTGCCTTTTGAAAGGGGTAGTTGTGGTGATCCTGATTGCACGTATCAGCTGTTTGGGGGGGGGGCGAGTGTACTTTGCGGAACTTTGTTTTAAACTTGCAGTGTGTATGGATGAGTATTCCTCCAGAACGCTGGAGCGCACTAAGTCACCTGTTTTGTTTGTCGGTCCCACACAAACTGCGGTCCCAAGCAGTCGTTCATGTAATCTTGGTCCACTATATGCTCGCGAAACATTCAGTTTGTCCAGTGTCATGTGTGCCGACAACTTCGCAAAACGGCACTAGTAAAACCAAACATCCAGGGGAACACAAACACATGCAGGATAGAATCGAGTGCACTCCACAGGATAAGATAGTAGTCAATAGGTTCCAAAAATAGTTTTGTTGGAAAAAGGGCGCCAAAATAGTTAACGTTTGAACCTACCCGAAGCTGAGTAAAATGTACGGAACCGTCATTGCAGTAATCCAGTAAAACAAGCGATGCCCCGTTTTATTAGGCACCAAAACAAACAGAAAAAATGGAAGCACTGTTATGCAAAAAGAGAAGAGAAAAAAACGGTAAGGCGAACCCATTCACAAGTTGGGACATACAGAAAATTGAGGTTGAATGTTGGGCGAAAGTCGTTAGTTGCCACCGATGAGGAAAAATAACACACAGAACATTAGGAGATCCACTTAGGTGGAAGTCATTTTCCAGGGCATTCAGGCATGACTTCGCTACCGACAATGAAAACGATAGCACGGAATTTATCAGGTTGAGAATAGTCTGTTGCAAATCTCTGCTACGTTTAGACAAATCGTGTGCAGCTCATTCGTGGTAAGTATATTCGCGGGAAGTGAGTGTAGCTATGTACGCAATAGATACCGTGCACCTTGGCTGAAAATAATTTCCAGCAGTTGATCAGATCGAATTCACGTAAGTTTAGGGGTGTGACGAGATGGATCAAGTGCTTCCACTAGCATATCGTTTAGGATTTCACATATGGAATGACCCTACATGAAAAAAAGGCCACTGCACGTTCACAGGGCAGTGCTAGAAGCCCAGGTTGTTTACTGATAGTGGTTCCAAGCATTTCATCACCAGGCGAAATGTCGTCATCAGCGGGTTAGTGATGGGTGAGCTAGTTCATGTAAGGCCAAATATAGGCGGTAGACAGCCGATTCTCTGCTCCTGACAGGCATCACCACTCAAACATATAGGAAAACCAGGGATGCGCCACTCAAACCTATGGTTCGTTTCACTTTTGCCAAACATCTCCGCTTGTAGTATGGATCACATTGGATCCCATTCCAGGTTGAAGCATGGGATCTCGGAACGGGCCCAACATACCAGACCAGATTGCAACGTCTCAGGTCGGCGATGTAAGCAGGCGCGTGTTCGCCATCAGCTCAGCGGGCCACCTAACTGTACTAACTAGCTATTAATAGTTTGGTCTGCTCACACCGCATGCATAATGTTGACCGCTTCTGTTCTATCACCGAAGTCAATGAAATGTGTCACCAGGTTTCCAGTTCGTTCTATTCCAGGTGTTAGATCGCATTCTGTTGCCGACTTTGGCCACCGCATTGGCCGCGGGCGCTTCGCATACTAAGCTGTTTACGTGGATGCTGAGGCATAACTAGCCTTAATAGGCTGGAGAGTCCGGAGTATCAACTGCAAAACAATGTTGGGAGACTATTATACAAAAGCAAATACTGACTGAAACTATCTAACTGTAGTTGTATGCTAAGGAGAGAGATTTATGACTGGCATTCCCCGTAGATAGTAGCTGTTTAGGTCTGATAAATATGCTCATCGTGATTTAGAACACACGCTGCGGTCGTATAATTTCGACACGGTTTCGTCAGGCAATATAGGGACTTAAAGGAAAAACAAAGTGCACGAGTTGACAACAGTGGTCAAGCAGTTGAGATGGATTCAGAAGTATGGTTTTGCGTCCAACCTCTAGTCGTATTCCCCACGGGTTTAGGCCGCGCCAAGAGCATTGACTTGGTTGGAAGCGTGACTCAGTGCGAACCGCATCTGCATTATTCATGCTGTGGGGGAGTGAAATGTAGTTCACAAGCCAGGTGAATCCGGAAGTGGAGACTAGCCTATTGTGAGGTCTGATCATCAACACCAGTAAGGAAACTTGGGGACTGCGCCTACCTGATGAGCCCTAAGGAGGACGAAACCGGTCGTGGGCTGTCGAAGAGTTTCCAGCAACCTTGTACGTAGTTCCCTTTATGAAAATATGCTGCGATATCTTGGATATCGTACTAATAGAAATATGGGGCGGCCTATGTACAGCACATTCAGTTGAAGAACATCATAAACGAGAGATTCAGTCAGTCTCCCGTGAAAAACAAATTGATTTGCAAATGAGTATAATTGTCGTAACACCATTACTCGTTTGAATCACCAGGGTTAAGCTAAATTTATCCTGACCAAATACATTAAATGTCACCAGAGGAACAAACAGCCAACTAAATCGGTCCCGAAGGATGGTTCAGTTGAAAGTAGGTAAGGGATAGACATCAAATTTGAAAGGTTAATGATTCTCTTATTGAGGTTCGATTCACGAGGATCCACAGCTCAAAAGAGTCGAACGATGTGTTAGTGGAACGTGTGAATTTGGTCACCAGAAGATACTTGGTGATCTATGGATAAGCGTGAATGGCGGTGGCGGTTAGGGATTGGACAGGTGAGACAACCGGTTTATGGAAACCATGCTCACGTGTAAACTTCCCAGTAAAGAGAATCATGTGATACTTCTTCAAAATGTCCTCCAGATCGCGCCAAACAGGCAAGCATGTCTTAGTGCAAGGAGAGGAAATGCAAGATGGAATTTGCCAAAAGAATGAATATACTGTATACGCTGATTTAGATTAAAAAAAACAATTTAATAAGCACAAACATTTGTCAGTTAGCTTTTAACGAGGAAGACGGAAAATCCACACAGTATACTTGATTATCAATGGAATGGTTTGTCTACTTGTCATCGGTAACCGATAACCGAAAAATCCTTAACCAGAGAGCCGTTTGTGGTATCCACTCACGGGATGAGTTTTGCACATAGCACGAAAGGCTATTGTCGTCAGACACCCGCAAAATTCAGAACTCTGGTGATGAATAACGAAGTGCGAGACATTGTGAAGTTATTCCAAGGTCCGCAGCATAGTTTGGTGTTTGTTGGAGTTGGGAAGCCTTGCCCAATCGCTTCATCATGACTAAACGTACAACATGACCAAATTCCTACAGCGACTGGATCATTTTTCCGATGCTTCGTTTGGCTTTGTACCAGCCAGAGGACATCATTAACAGACTTCTTTTGAACGTAATGTACGGTACACGAACAATAAAACCAAGTTTGGCGTGTTTTCACAAAGGACAAAAGCACTACGAAACCGATCGAAATCTCAAATTTGGAGTCGAGAGTTCAACGGAATGCACAATACTGAAAGTAATCAATATTCTACAGGAACCCGAATATGACATATACATGAGGGGACAAAGCTCAGAGGTTCTGACCAATCGTTTCGGCTTGGCTTGGGCTCATACGGCAAAAGTGGATAGGTTTGAAAGGATGCTGAGTATTTAATATAGACCACTCGCCTACCATCACTATCATCATCATTGTCATGTGTGATAACCGCGTACTTGTCGTATAGTGGTTGCAGCTGCCACAGTTTCTTGCACCGGTGATTCGGAGAGGTGGGGTAAGTAGCTGCGCATTGGAGGCGGGAGCTGATAAATTAGGGCATAGATACAGCACTGTAGGTGGACTGTTAAATGGGAGGATTGGGAAGGGAGCTTTGCATTGAAGGCAATAGGTTAGATGCACGAGCGCCATTGGGGGTGCGACTGGGCCGTGTCCGACAATGTCTCTAACCATCCTCCCCCCATCCAGGAAGACGGCAATGACAAGCGCAGCTGAGCTCGCTGGTAATGACTTTTATACTTCGCTGCCAAGTCATTGTTTAACCACCTCTTGCTCTCTTCCACCCTTCATGTAATTGTGCGAAAAGAACCATTCGAGGAAGTCGGTCGGCTGACATACGCAGCACGTGGTCAAGCCAGCGCAACCGATGCAGTGTGATCAGTTCATCTAACCCGCCTACCGCTCTGTAGCTGATTTCCGTATTGGACGGATTCAATAGGAACACTTCCGCTCTCTTTTTCCGTCAGGACTTTGTTGGATGTTGTATAAGGAAGGAAGTAGGTCTATAAAGAATTGCCGCTGGTGAGAACCACAAGCAGCAGCCAAACTAATATACTCCCAAAGATATTGTAAAATTGTGTATATGCGAAATACAAAAAAACCAATTTGGCCTTGTTAGCCAATCAGAAACAAATGTTTTGTGCTCAGCTATCCTTTTTCATAATCACCTAGATGGAACGTGCAGGTCGATGGGCGCAAACTGTTACCCCAAAACCTGTCTTCTGAAACTGAGCATCAAAAGAAACCTAGGTTGAATCTCACAACAGTACGTTTACGAAGGCGTGCGTGGACGAACAACGCGACCGGAATTTTTTTACTCACATCGCCCCCGTTTGAACAGTCCTCCTCATGCCCCATAGCAATCATTCTGGTGAGTCCATACCACAAAACAGAAGCACTGGTCTTATTAGAGCCCATCAGCAGTGCATGTCCTTGACGGAGTTTGAGCTCCAGACGTGTGAAATGCGAACTCACCGGAATGATTGTGCCGGAACAGGAGGACGATAAAGATGAGAACGTAAATTCTACAAATCCCACAACCATCCACAAACAGGACTGTTGTGTGAATTTCAATAATTGGAACGCGAGACTTGGATAAGCGAGCAGTTTCCTCCTAAAAGTGCATTTGGCAATGTAGTATGGAGCGGAAACGAGAACGCAAGTTGTATCAGAGTTTGGGATGCTACAAAGAGGATCGTTGGCTTGGGGTAGACTCTACGTGTTCACTGTGAGTTGAAGGTATCTGTTATACACTACAGTATACAACCAGAGTTCACTTCCTCGGATAGACCACAGTAGCATCCCAGTGTGGCCCATTCCTGAGGAACCCCCTCTCCCATCTCAAAAGGCCTTGGCCGCGATGTCCTCTAGCAGTGAAATGGTAGTACTTTGAACTGCCCCATCCAATGAATATTGCACTGAGGAGTCCCAAGGCTCTTAGCGATCAAGGAGGTGCTTACAATAGTGAAACGTTCAATCCAAAAGAAAATTCAATGTTCACATCGGTGTGGAACCTACCCAAAGAAGACCAGCTGAAAAGTTGGACTGCACGCCGCACCACTGGGGCTACAGAGGTAGATGAGCGCATCACAAGAACAGCGAGGCTGGCCACCGCAACGAGAAAGCTCTGTGGGTTTGGAAAAAAAGGCTACAAATTTCTAGATGCCTACAAATGAATGAACGCGTAATGCCGATGGAGATGTATCCGAAAGCATGTTTCTAGAGCAGTAAAATCATTCAAAGGAGTAGATTTAGACATTCGCTTATTGATAACTAATGGCTCGGTAGTTAAGGAGACTACACGAAACAGTAACTCACCATGACAAATGGAAAAATAGCATATCGGCACTTCACCTGCAATTGTGTTGACATGAAAAGGCGCCGTACAAACACCGCAATAATTACGCTGATTGTCAATCCACCGAAGGTTCTGTGAGAGGGAAGCATGATGTAAGCGATTAACATGTGTGGAATCTCGAATTTGTATATGCCAAAAGACATAAAGGCATTTACACAATAAAAGGGATTGACAAATTCATCCTGGTAAACGAGTGTTACAATTCATGAGTGACTCAATCCCAAAGCGTTCCGCAATCTTTCCCAGGTAAATAAGCCACATGTTGATATGCTACTCTCTAGTTCACGAAAAACACTACTATTCTGGATACACATTGCCAGCAATGGGATCCAGTAGTTGAGCGACCGGACCTGGAGTTTTGACATGAGGATAGAAAGTGATTAACTAGCCACGACTGAGACAACTGGTATACGTGCTAAGAAGCCTCAAAACGATGACCGGAAACGCCCTGTACACACAGCAACTCCCGTGTGGGGGAAACTACCGTATCCTAACCTCGCCAGACTGTCAGATGCCACGTAGGTCTTTACAAACACTAACCATCAGGTGTTCGAGGTTGATACTTCTCTATTTACGCTTCAAGTATAAAAAGCTACCACCCACAATGAGCAGCTGTCTACCTTACATCTCTCCAAGTCATCGGCAAACGAAAATATGACTGGAGGGCAGTTGCGCGGTTTTTATAGCTGATATGTCAGCCTAGGAGACAGTATATCAAAAATATAACTTTCTTTCAGTACTTGTTTTCATTGAGACCGTAGTAGACAATTGCCAAGCAAAAGTGAGTAACACACCTCGCTGTGCGACGAACAGGAGGAGGCCATACCACATAAACATGGATAAGAGGTGATTCTTCACATAATTGCAGAACAAGCCAGAACACAGGCATGTGACAGAGGTTCATCTCCTCAATGATTCGCACCAACTTCCATTCTGAGAAATCAGCAATGTGCCGAAATATTGACAACTCGACTCAGGAAGCAATAGTATCAATAAGTGGATGAATGAGTCGCCTAACCGACCGCGCACTGATGATGCCTGCCAAACTGGTGGCGAAACGTTTAAAAGTTAATTGCCAAGCTCGGCAGATGGATTAACAGCCAGTAAGTGAGCATCGGCAGCAGAATCACTGTCGACTGAAATCCAGTAAGGTCTATCACATGAGGTGCTGGGGCACTATAAAAATCAATAGGATGGAAGTCACTACTACGATTCAGCACCTCAGGGGAAAGTAACAGACCCTGCATGTGAGGGATGTGGAGGACTGCGTTGCCATGTTTTAGTATCAAAATCACCTTTCGCGTCATAGCTACAAGTGACAAGTGTTCCAAGTTCCAGAGGCATGCATCCGAGTTGCATTGACCATTCGGAAGTGCGAATTTGTTCATTTCGTAACTTGAGGTTTTCAACTTAACCACCTGACCGGAAGGTCCGTGATACGAACCCAGCTTAGGCATCCCGACTGCTCCCATCTAGACTTGGGTCGCGTGGCAGCATCTCAGACCTCGTGCTTCCCTTGGGTGATACAGCCGAACGCATCCATAGAACACTGCTCAGTACTGGTGTGGTGAAACACGTTAAAAAACCATAAAGCAACAAGAATTCTAGAATGCAATAAAATAGAACATTCCACCACGTCCAAACGGTCCTGATCTCGACGTATGTCATCCTGAATAGAGTCAGTTGAAGTCAGCGAGGTGGCTGGTGATAAGAAGAGTTTCCCATTTAAATGAACCAAGCGACCAGCGATGCATACATCAAACTTGCAAGGCAGGAAACACTCTCACTAGGATAGTGACGAATTAAGGTATCACTCAAGCTTGTGAAGAACAAGTACGAAGATCAAGTGTGCTTGAATAGGTGACAAAAAAGACAAGCGCAAAACTCACACAAGAAAGGGATTGTAAACGGATGAGGACACGGGGAGAAGGGGGAAGATGGCAAGTAGGATGCAGGCGAACGGCCAAAGGAATCGTAGGGTCTGAAAAGAACAACAAGAACGAATCACAGGAAAATACCGCGATAGAAGTTTGTGATGGGACGATGTGATGGTTACGTTACTAACCTACATAAGTTATCCTGTTTCGTACTACGTGTGGTGTTTTGCAAATGATATCGCAACTACCGTGACGGTATGAGGCTTTCTGCTACACTCACAATGGTATCTCAAAAGGCCTGAGATGGCCTTTTTGGAAACAAAAGGGAATTGGTCCACATACATTCGTACGGCGATCATAGAAGTTTTAAGCAAGGTCACACTAGAATGCTTGTGATACGGCGTGGAGGGCCGAGCTATAGATGCTTGATTCCGATTACCTCACATTCCGACCAGGGTTTTCTCCGTAACCAGCTCGCGACACGTCCGTCCAATGGACAAATATCTAGAGCGATTGGGCCTCTGGACACCAACCACGGATCATTCGATTCACGACAGCTCCGGCCATAAACACAGAGAGTTGGATATAAATGCAAAGTCTCTGGCGTGACATCCGACTTTAAGGATGCGGGACACACATTGTCAGCGTGGACTGACAAAAGGGAGTGAATCAACCGATAGTCTACCAGACCATGCTGCCTTTCAGTTCAACAACTCATGTGAATTGTACCCAACTTTGCTGAACTGTTGTGTACAACGATATGCCTTGTTTTACGATGATTTAAGACAGTGGGTTATTCGGCTTCTTCTCAGGGAGGGTTAGACAGCGCAAAACAGGTAGGGCTGAAAAAATTCAGCGTTGTGGATTCCGGGAGGAGTTTTCTTTGAGAAGTAGGAAAGATTACGTCAAAAAGTGAAGAAAATGTATGTTTTCATGACCCTGTGCGAAAACCACACGTAAATACCGTCTTGGATGCAAATTTACGCCTTCTTTTTGTCCATTCTATGTGCCAAACGGATGTGCGCTTTGATTACATGGCTAGAAAACGCATCCTCAACGAGGACACTTCGATGCTTCACCACGATGCTGATCAGCTGAAGAGCACGATTTTGCCCGGCCCGATATTAGGACATTTCCGAGGAATCCGCTGAACTGCCAAGGAAAGATTGTTTGTTTTGTTGAATAAGAACCATTGCAACTGGCAGTCCTGCCGAAGCAATTCAGATATACAGATACTTGGATGCGCGCTGTGTCGAAACGGGGCCATGTATAGGGTTTCGAAAACGGTATTCATCCATTAGTCTGTAACTCGTATTTTCGAAGACATCCACCTTTACCCTTACATGCCTTGGGGGCGAGACGTTTCAAGTGATTAGAACGCGAATTTACTAGCCAGAAGGTTCATGGTTAGAACCCGACCTCTGCCTCTCGACTTCCCCTGTCTAGGTTTGGGCAACCTGGCAGTATCCCAGCCCTCGTGCTTCCTTCGTGTGGAGTGGTGGCTAGGCGCCGGAAGGGTACTACAACTGAAAAATAAAAAACTCCATTTATATGGTGAGCAGCTACTACTGACCGGAACAGTGACTAGCACAGTCCGAATAAAATCAGACGTGTGCAGTCAACCGCCCGTGCCATCTGACTTCTCTTACGATGACACCACAGTCCATCCGCCGGCACTGTTTACAAGTCACAACGTACTTAGCTAAATCAATTCTCGTTCTTGGTGACTAGGCACTTTGCCACAGTACGTCGTGAATTTTGGACCATCCCATGGACGCCACACCATGACATGATTTGAACAAACTTTCTATCGCACCACTAGGTAAAATAGCGCACTTTCCGGATAAACTAAACTCTCCGGTTCCGTTCAATCCCATTTTTTTGAAGTTTCCCAAACTCTTCGTCACCTTCTGCGCATTCCATGGATCTCCTCTCCACTAACGCGACTACAACGATTAGTAGCTTGCGGTTTCGATAAAGACGGACATTGTGAGCAAATTAGCCTATGGAACCGATTGATGTGTTGTTTCGACTTGTATACAGATGGCACCACTAGCTGATCACATTAATAATGTGACTGGAACATTTTCCCCATGCATTCACTTATGTGGTACTACCAGTGTAACTGTGAGACTACTGATGGGGGCATGCGAGTAGTATCCTTTGTTCTTATAAATTCGCTTTGCGTTTCTTGAAAAAGGAGATCTGTTGCGGAAATTGTGGAGTCGCTTTGTAGCATTTGCTTGGATTTGAGCAATGAATGATGGGAGTCAACGAATATCTAGGAAAGTTCGAGAAGACGCGTTCAGAGGATGGATGCCCAGTTTTTGCAAATAAGATGCAAATGAGAGTTTTGCTTCCCTGTCCAACAGTCTGTAACTGGTCAGTTGGCATTTTCTAATAAATAACTCCACAGGGAAGGCCTTCCTTTAACCAGGTCTTCTACAATCTCGCATCCTAGGAGTGGACGCCATTCACTATGCATTCCGAATATGACGCATGAAAAGCCGAATCACCCACATTTTGCTCAACGACTCGACTCACCTTACGACCTCTTCCAAACGACCGGTCCATCAGCGGCCAGGTTGAGACCAAAATACTCGCGGCCGACAAACATAAGCGATGGGAGAAACCCCACATCTAGAGTAGAAAAAACACATGAAAAGCGATGTGTACAAAGTTATACGGCGAAATTCACAAGGCGAGAAACCACATAAAGGTATTCTTCGAACATTTAACCAAGCGGTTCTGATGAGATCGTAGGATTTCATTCAGCGTAGAGTAGGGTCCAACAACATAAGGATGACAGGGAGAATGTCTTTTGGCGAGCACCCAGAAATTTCGTCCGGGATAGAAATATCCACACTATCAATACAACAAGTGAAAGCAACCATGTCATCTTCGATGGTAAAGAGCAGAAATTAAAAGCACATGAAATCCAAAAATTTTCCGCTTAGTTGCTGGGGCACATATTTTACGTATAGACGTATAGACATGTAAAACGCACCACTCTTTATGAACGAAAACGGTTGAGAACGCTTTGGTGTTTGAGCATTTTGCTTTGGTGCACTGAGTATGATCCTCCATACAGTTACTCTCAAGCTGAAGGGAGGAATCAGCTTAATTTAGGTGATCTCCTCAGGTGCTGCTTGATAGGGAATGCTTTCTAAACCTCGATTAAGGGGGGACCATATCAGCGTCCAACTGTCACTCACTAACTCCATATAATTTCAAAATGTTTCGGTATTTCAGAAAAAGTCAAGAAACTAACGGATTTCAACAGGCTGCGAAGCCAGTCCAATATATTTTAAACATTTGTGTCTGACAACCTAAGGGAGGCGAGATGGTCCAAGTGGTTGGAGTGCGAATTTACTAACCGGAAGGTCCGTGGTTCCAACCCGACCTCTGCCTCTCGACATCCCCTGTCTAGGCTTGGGCAACCTGGCAGTATCCCAGCCCTCTTGCAATCTTCGGGTGGCATGGCAGTTGGGCACCGAAAGATGAAAGCAGGTGAACGATTTCTCCTTTCGACGACCTAAGAGATATCATTTTGATGTCGCTGCCTTGCACATGCTCCATGCTTGCCAAAGAAACTCACAAACATGTTACCTTTCACCAGAGACTTATTAACCCGGAAAAAAGTTTATGATTCCAATCCACACGTCTAACATGCGATAGTACAACCTCAAGTAGTTGGAAAATGATGCTCTATAGCACCAGAACGAGGAGATGGTGTGATCATCTAATATCAACACGATAACTAGTATGACAGATTTGGTATCACACAAAATCGATCAGCTAACTTTTTGTGTACATTTCGCTGATCAATTATGTCTTGAAGTTAGATCTGTCACAAAAGGCGTCGCAGCGCTATGGCGTAAGGAACACATCCTCCAATCCACACATACCTGGTGCCTCAGAACGTTCACAATTGGCACAAATCAGGATGAGAACGACCGCAAGCTGTCCGAATACGACTTTGCAACCCCAATATATGCATGTTCGGAAGGATTATGTACGATTAATTGACAAGTGTTGGCCTACGAGCTAATTTTTCTACGATCCTGTTTAAATATGACATAGTCCGTGTGATTCTGTGGTACCCGTCCCAATAACTATGGAGGCGTTTCCTATCTAGCGTGAAGCGAATTGGTCAAGATGGTGAAACAGAAAAAAATTTTGAGCTACCCTCAAGTATCCTGAATAACCTAAGGTATTCGGCAGACTAGAAAGCATGAAAATAGGTCTGAAAATGTTCAATAATGTGGTCCAAAAACGATCCACTGTGAAAAAAGTCAACGAGAACCAGAAACGTTAGTAACGATACTAAGTGTAGAAGGCAGTCACTACCGGTAAAACACGAAGGTAACAAGAACGTACCAAGAGTTCCAGAATACACACATAGTTAAGTACTGCGAGCAAGAGAGGCACGACCGACAAAAACGATGCCAAAGGTCCAACTGTCTTCAGGGCACACATAGCTTGGGACATTCCTTGAGCAGTACCTTTAATGAGGTTCACAAGTTGCGCTTGGCGTTGCCGCGACCACGCCAGATGTAGTGCGAAAATCAGCGGCATGATTTGGCACACGGTGTGGCTAACAGGCCGCGAGTATGCTGAATTAGAACAACAACAAACTTTTTTTGAAATGTGTGATGCAATGTTGAGTTGAAATTATTTAATGTGTATCCAAGCCATCAAACACTTGACAAAATTTATCAGATCCGAGAAGGGGAGGGTAAGACTGAGAGCCAGTATTTCAACCAGTTGGGTTCGATACCTCACGGATGACTCCTAGGTGGCAGCAGCCTCCATCCCGACATTCCAATCGTCTGAGATCTCACGATCTTTACCCTTGAGCCAGCCACTACTTTGTATGTGACCTAATGAGGCTTTCTTATCTCACAGTGTTGGCTCAGGGCAAAAATTGATGATATTTTCGAGGAACTACCATGCAAAAACAAAACATCCCCATTAAGCGGAAATTCATCTGTTCTTAATTGATGCACACCGAAATTTCATGAGGGGAATTGAACACATGTAGATGAGGGGGGAGAATTCAGACCGGCACAAAATACAGGATAACCCTTCGTTTTTTGTATCCGTTTTCAGACAGACATATCGCACGCGCACACGACAAAAACAATATTTGTACCAAGTTACTTGTTCTTCTAAAGAACGAATAATTTCAGATGGCAGGATTCGCGGTAACTCTACGCAATGCTTTGCGAATAACACCACCGATTGCCTGATGGTTCCTACCGGTCGGATCAGCTAACTGTTCACGGGTGGATCCACGGCTTGAGAAAAACTAGTTTAAGCATGCTTATCGATTAGGTGACCGACTCACGCCTGTCCCAGAGATGGTCAAAGCGATAACCCAGTAGAGTGAACCATAAATTCCTAACGCGCCGTACATGGGGGGGGGGAATTCTGACCGGCACAAAATACAGGATAATCCTTCATTTTTTGTATCCGTTTTCAGACAGACATATCGCACGCGCACACGACAAAAACAATATTTGTACCAAGTTACTTGTTCTTCTAAAGAACGAATAATTTCAGATGGCAGGATTCGCGGTAACTCTACGCAATGCTTTGCGAATAACACCACCGATTGCCTGATGGTTCCTACCGGTCGGATCAGCTAACTGTTCACGGGTGGATCCACGGCTTGAGAAAAACTAGTTTAAGCATGCTTATCGATTAGGTGACCGACTCACGCCTGTCCCAGAGATGGTCAAAGCGATAACCCAGTAGAGTGAACCATAAATTCCTAACGCGCCGTACATAATAAGACTCATGAAACGTTTCAGAGCGAACTCCCACGGTCTAGTGATAAACATCACTTACCGGAGACAAAAATCACCGTACCGTAACCACAGAGTAGAAGCTGACAAATTCCGATGGAACGAAGTTTGGTGCACACTTGTTGCTGTCCAGCTTGTACCTCACCAAGCATACCACAGAGTATTTCCAAACTCCAAAGCAAACAGCTCAGTCCTACGAAAATGCTATGGGAGACAAGAGAAACAACACGTCTGATGTAACACCACGGGTGAATGTTTGTGAAACGAGAGTCGAATAAAGTTTGCTGACGAACGGGAGGACTGTGTGAGAGTAAACAAGTGTATTTGGACCGACATATTTTCCCACCTTCGCGAGAAGGTTGGAATTCGATTTGGACGAATTTCGACACTGCACACTGATCGATTTAGAGTGGACTCAGTTGGACGACACAATAATGCCACTGTAGCTTGATTCTTAGCTTTGGGAACTCAGGGGACAATAGTTTGGGGTCAAATATGGGGTAGAAGTGAGCTTGAGTGATTCGATATTATGCCCATCTTTTTGTGCACTCGTGTTCTAACTCGACCTGTGCGGGAACGAGAGAACCAGTCGTATAAGACCGAATTTTTCTGCATGCGAATCACAACTGATCCCAAGGATAACAGCAATTCCGTACAAACAGGCAAGAACCGGATAAAGTGATCGACTCAGCGCATGGACTAATTTCTCAACGCAAAAGTATTGTCCACAGATATGCATGTACGCGGTTATCTTTTCTATATGGCTTAAAATGAAAGCATGAAAGCGTTCAGCTGTAACACCTTTCCGGTGCCTAGCTGCCATGCTACCCGAAGGAAGCACGAGGGCTGAGATACTGCCAGGTTGCCCAAGTCTAAACAGGGGAAGTCGAGTGGCGGAGGTCGGATTCGAACCACGGACCTTCCGGTCAGCAGATTCGGGCTCTAACCATTTGAGCCATCTCGCCCATATGAAAGCACATGAGTGTGGAGAAAACTAATGATGAGGATGCTGAAAAACTCCTCGACAGCAACCTTATGAGTAGTTTCCCTCATGAATATCGTACCAACTGAAACATGAGGCGACCACCATGCAGCATATTACGCTGAAGAATGCTGTAAACGAGAGATTCAGTTATGATTCGGACGAGTCACCCGTGAAAACCGAGTCGATGTGCGAATGAGTGTATTTGGAGAAGACATATGGCATTTCTACCGCCACTGTGATGAAGTCTAGCTTGTTTCAACTTTTTTTCCATTCACATATATGGTTGGTAATTGATTATGGACTTGGAAAGGGTGCTTGGGTGTACTAGCATTTAAGGGTTGATGGGTGGGGGTTTCGATATAACATTATATGGTAGTTTTTTTGGTGTAGCTAGTTTCTACGTGATAATGAGTCATTCTTATGGATGTCATCTATCGTCAGAGAAAAATCGATTCATTCTTTAGGGTTTGCGAGGGTTACTGATGATTCTTGTTAGGTGGTTCATCTGGAGCACTTGTATCAATCAGCCTCAACTACAAAGCGGACACCAGGTAGACACAATCGCTTATTCGACCATTGGGTTGACTGTACCCAATCAACAGAAGCTCTGTAAGGATTACTGATTGAATGATATCAAAGGATTGAATATCTTAGTTAGCTTGAATTGCTGTATAGCATAGTGCAGTATAGTATAGTTTCTAGTATAGTATAGTACAGTATGGTACAGCATAGTACAGTATACTGAGGCGTAGTATAGACCACTATAGACCACTATAGAACATCAGTGTGCAATACAGTATAGTATAACATGGTAGAATGTAGCCAAGCTACCTTTAAGAAGAAAGCCGAGGAGCTCGGTAGAAAACTTTCCGACAGCGAGTTCATATATAAAATGTGTAAAACTTTGGTTACCAACTTAATGAGGCACCAGTCTCAAAAAATACTTGGCAGTCAGCACAAATTGTCTGGTGTGGACAAGATCCATAAAAATATTGCCAAACAGATGTAGAATTCTCTGTATAGAAAAACCTGGATAAACAGTACATAAAAACAGTACACAAAAATGTACCTGACAGGCATTTAATGATCACATCTACTTACCGGAAGAATTTTCGATCGTAGGTATCATAATAGTCAAGAGCGGCAATGACAAGTTCTTCCAGTTGTGAGTATTGCTCAATCTGGAAACAAGCGAAGTCAAATCGAATTATTGAACCAACTAGTTACAATGATCACCCTGTGCCTGCCAAAATATCTGACGTCCAGAGTGATCAGTCCCTATAACACGAAGGGGTTCATGAGATTACTCAAATCCAAGCTTCCAAAATTGGGTCGAGCAAAGTAGATGTGGTGTACACATTATTCGACCTAAAGTTATCGTACCGAGAAACGTCGAAAACCGGATGGGTTGGAGTGAGTAATCGTTCCATGGGTTTGTATGAGGACCATGGACACGACGGACCAAATAAAATGATAAGGAAGTAATACCTCAATGTAACGCATGCTTCATGATTCCCGTTTGGAGCCCTTCTTTAAATCCATAGGAACTATTCCGATTTGTTCAAACTCATGGTCATTATCATCATCATCCTCATCCTCATGAGTACTACGGTGTGTACTAGGGACATTTGAAGTACCATGACTGTACTGGTGCGAATTGGACGCAAAGTACTGTGTGCGAAGAGGCATTCGGGGGTGATCAAGGATCGCTCAACAAGAACGGGTACATATATAGCACGACTCTGATTTTCTTCAGAATCCCGCTTTTCAAGCGCCCTCTTTACAGAGACATGCTCTGTAGGATATCCATTCACCCTGAAATACCCCTGAGCAAATGATGTTCGGCGAATTTAGGATGACTGAAAAGGGAATAACGCCATACGTCATCACTGAAACCACACCCTCATCCCCGAACTGGCAATATTATCTATCCAGGGACCATAACCGAAGAAGTCTTTGGTCAAATAACAGGTAGCCCTGCAGGTTACTTTAGCTTGAAGCAGAGCTTAACAAGCAGGGACGGCATGACTGGCAATGCCCACGAAAATGAACCATAGAAGTACAACCTACTGTTGTTCAGTGTAACACGAAGATGAGCTAAACCACCATGGAGTAGTAACGACATATTTCGGGATCCTGGATGGCTATTTTGAATAGGCAAAGGAGGATTCTAAAGACTTAGATGTGAGTGGAGGATTTGCTTGTCTCCCAAAGCTTATTTTATTCACATCTGCCAGATGAAATCGGTGAAAAGTGGGGTCACCAGTAGGGCAAGATGGACCAAGTGGTTAGAGCGCGAATTTACTGACCGGAAGGTCTGTGGTTCGAACCCGACCTCTGCCACTCGACTTTCCCTGTCTAGGCTTGGCCAACCTGGCAGTATCACAGCCCTCATGTGGCATGGCAGCTAGGCACCGAAAGGGTGCTACAGCTGGACGATTATTATTGATTATTATAGGTTTATAGCTCTTGTATGAGGAACAGGAACCTGAAGTCTCCAGAGCAGGGAGGGGTGGTAACCTTACAGACAGTAGGCCTTCTGATAGGTGCCTAGTGTGTGGAAAACCCGAAAAAACAATGCATTAGACGGGAAACAAGGTTGAAATGGACGAGAGGCAACAGATTGCATGATATCGATGATGATATTAAAAACTAGTAACGGTGAAAACTCAGTGATAAAACAATGCGAGAAAGTAGAAGATCCCAGGCTTAAGAAAGACATCCATTCTTGAGCTACATGGGTAATCCAACTTACCGCATCTGCATATTCACGTTTAGCTCCCAAAGTTTCGGCTCTTTGCATGCGGTTTGCCACATCCTCTTGGGTTAACCGCCTGTTGCACACACACGTACAAATGGGAGGGAGAGAGATGCGAGAACAGTTCATTACTTTGAATGACAGGCTTTATAAATCGTTGTGTCTGTTTTGTAAGAGTGCAATATAGCCCAAAAGAAGCGGAAAACTAAAAGTCAGCAAAACAAAAAAACTATACAGGTTAGCACGCACAAGAATTTCGTTGCAGCACTGATTCGTGAGCAGCTAAAAAGTGCCTTCCAGGGTTAGCAACTGGGTTTTCAGGTAGTTTACACTGAACCTGACGCACTCAAACAAACGCAAGCAACTCAAGGTGACAAATATGGAACTGAAATGCAGGTCGCCATAGAACTAAGGTGTTATCAAACCAAAAAAGCTCTTGATAAAGTAAGACTGATAATAACTGTTCAGCTGTAACAGACTTTCGGTGCTTAACTGCCGTACCACCCGAAAGGAGCACATGTACTGAGGTACTGCCGGATTGCGCGAGCCTAGACAGCAGTAGTCGAGATGCCGTTGGGCAGTGAATTTGCGCTTTGGCCACTAAGCTTTCTCGAGCTCAAAGGAAATATGAAACAGTTACTGAACCGTCTTCTAACTATGGAGGAGAGGAATAGGAGGTAACTACACAAGTTCACAATAAAAAAACAGCTTGATATGCAGCACAGCTCTTCATTTTAGCTGGTCCAATTTTGAAGAACACACTTCTCTAGCTTGCCATGATCATTTAGCACACAGTTCTGCATGGGTCAGAGACGCTGAAACAAGCCCCTCAACAAAGTGTCGTGTTTGACTTGTTTGAAACTTATTTGCTGTTCATGTGCCGGAAAAACGTGCGCTGAATTCACGGGGATCTGTATGGTGAAATTACGACTCGACGTGGAAGTCACCCGCCGGATGTTGTGCACGCTAAGCGATGCTTTGCACGGCCGCAGTTTGATTCCATCGGACGCGTCCCACCCAGTTTATCGACGACCACTCATACATCAGTGACGACGATGTCCGCAAGTGTCCGTTTAGGTTCCATGAACTTCACGGGTGTCGTGAGACGGTAGTAGCATCCCAGTGGACCGGAAAGGACCAAAGTGTCAGAGGCGATTCCTACAGGTAGTTGTGTTATAAAACCGAGCCACAAACGACTAGTTCTATGTTCGGCAGTTTTGGAAGAAATAAGGCACACTTGTGCAACAGTGGAATATGTTTGTACCTCAGCAGTGGGTGCCCACGGCAACAAGAGGAGTCAACAGAGAAGAAAAGTTTCCCCTAGAATAAGAGGACGGCTGCGTTTCACCAAAGGAGGAGAAAATTGCTGACCCGATTAAACAATCAGAAATTCATGCAAGCGAAAGCGTTTTGACATTACTCGTCACCGGGATTCAAGCGAATGATTAGCAGTCACGTAGAAAGTGTCTGAATCCTGCGGAACAAAATTTGTGTGCAATCTGGACGAAAGGTGTGTTCAGCTGAGAGTTGCACCACGAAAAGTCTCGCTCAGAGGAACCGAACGCTAATGATAACGTGTTGTGCTGCCACTTTTGGCAGTGCGGAAAAGTAAAACACCGAGAATGTCCCAAATCTTAAAACGGGTCAGTTTGGCGTGCAATGAGACACGGGTGCGTCCGTTAAAGAACACGATCAAACAAAGGAGAAAAATTGCTCATCAAGTGGTGTTCAACTAGAAGGCGAGACGGAGAGAATTTCGGGACTAGGTCTACCTGATGAGCTCCAATGAGGTTAAAACAAGCAGCAGGGTATTGAGGAGTTTTCCATAACCTTACAGGTGACGGGGAACGTAGTTATTTCTATTGATGTGTAGCTCAGTTGCGTAAAGTCAAGTCAAAACTTGAATTTCAATGTCACATTCGAGGTGCAGTAGATAGAAACGGGAACTATTCAATCCACGAAGGTTGTCGGCAGCAGATATCTTTTGTGGCCCATGTTCAGTGGGGCAGTGCACCTTTCCACGTGTAGGGGGTTGTCCAAAAGGTTTGCTTATATTATACGATTATCATTATGTTAACAGTATTGTACGAGGGTAAATATACTGGACATTGGCCCACAGAGTCTTAGGTGGACATCTCGGCCAAGATCAAGAGCAAATGCGCTGTTCACGTTTGCGATACAGCAAACGCACCTGTGGTCCCGCAGAAAGACGAAGGTAACGTGAAACTACTATTCTTCCAGTGATTGTGGGTATCTGTGTCATTCACGATACGCACTAACAGATCAATGTGTAGGAAAGATCACGCCAGTAGTACTGGCAGTAAGGAAGGATGAAGAACACTTAATAGGTCTGGAAAAAGATAATGCATCAAACGTCTGGTAACGGCTGTCGAGCGCGTCCGGCAGTCTTTACTTGCCCATTCATGCGGAGTGCACTATTGAAGGCAAGTATCGTCAGCTAAGGGCGGCTTAACCATTAACGCACTTATTTCCTACCAGGCTGTAATTAATATCATCATTATTTGTGCACTCCGGGCAATCCTGATGAGAAAGGTACAACCTCTGACCAACCCATACGCTTTGGGGGTTTCAGCAGTCTGGTTGTCCACACATTAGTTGAAAATTACGGCCCACCACTGACGACTCACTCCATTCGGTCCCCCAGCAGTTCATAGGGTCCACTCTGAGTAGGAGACATTCAGCTAGTTACTAAGGAGGTTCAGTACAGCTCATCCATACTATCCGTTGTGTGCGAGTGTCCATCAGAGAAGACCAAAAACATGCGAAAACGGATGCCAGTGGGCTGTGTGAAACACGTACATATTTGAGAAAGTGTCCAAGTTCCCGGAAAACTTGGTGCAAGGGGAGATTTTTTCACAAAGCAGGATTTTGCAAAATAAATTGACGCACATACCCATACTCCATGAAGAATAACCTAAAATAGTTTACTCTTTTCTCTTCCAATTTGATCTAAGTGATAGAAAGGGAAATGATGTTCATATTTTGTTTTCATAACAAATACTGACATGTTCCTCTGACTATCCGATAAGTTTCCGGGAAAATGAAACGTGTAACTGACTAGAAAACAGAGTAGATACATTTGCGAATTCAAATAGATGGAAAGCAAGAAGCAGTGTTTGGCGCTCGATAGAGAGAGAGAGAAAGATCGGGATTCGAAAAGTTGGCGTGGGTTAGAGGATGTGAGGACATCTCGAAGTTTCTGGCGAAATTTACCCTCGCAACCAAGGTCAGCCTACGTTCGAAAGACGAGAAGCACTGTGCACCTCTTTACCCGTGCTGTGAATCAACATCAGTGGGGAATACCTATGGACGGCCAAAACTGCGACCTTCCAGTCGAACATAACTGAAACTTAGAGATCTACATTCAGAAAGGAGAAAAATCCCGCAAGTGGCAGGAACCTTACACGTGAGAAATCATCACTTGTGATGCCAGTCAATATCGGATCATACGATGTGACTGGAAGCTGGTGGCGCTACACCCTGCATGAGTATAGATTAATCACAATCTTGGTCAACCACACGTGATCGCAATCAAATAATTATTGGGAGCCAGAACAGAGGCGTTTGAATAATTGAATATCTGACCATCAGGGACTTTTGTTCGGATCAAACAGTTTCCCATTAACATGAACTGACCACACGTGACCGCAATCAAATAATTATTGGGAGTCGGAACAGAGGTGTTTGAATAATTGAATATGACCATCAAGGCCTTTTTGTCCGGATCAAACAGTTTCCCATTAACATGAACGCTGCTATTTTGGTTGTTTGAGATAGAACAACTGCAAGTTGACTTGGTACTCAAGAAATTGGAAACCGATGAACGCAACATTTAAGGCGGAGAGTCACATGACGGTGCACAATAGGGTTGGTCAGAATCATAGTAACTGTCATGAGCCAATCCATACAAAATGGGCGCGATATCTCCAGTACATCCACATGGCAACATAAACGGTGTCAGACAAATTCAATTCGTAAAACAACAACAGAACAATGAGTGGGCTGGATTAGACTGCATGAAACTGAATTCACTTGATAACCGGAACCGGTAGATGAGTACAGTTCAAAGGATGATGAAACCGGAAGAACCTTAGTCGAAGTGTAATCATGTAGATTGCTTCGAAGAACTTGGGTTCAGTGGCGTAAACTTCAATTCGAGACCCGAAAAACATGTTCCATGGGATGCACTAATCAAAAGCGACACCGGGGACGGGCCATTGCGAGTAACGCTCATAAACTAGCATACAGACTATTCAGCTCCAGTGGTCGTCTATCAGCTGCGCCAATTTCACAACTCGACTCAATGTGTTTGATCAACGTTAGTGGCGAAATCTGTACAGCACCACGATTAACAAGGCTCAACGCCAAAGACAATTTTATCATAAAGAGTCGAATTGCCGAAGAGAGTTAATTGACGATGAGACTTTTAAAAATCGATAGCTATGGGGTAGTGGATTCGAATCTCCCTGGGAAGTCATGAGTTGAGCACAGCTGATGATCCTCAAAAAGGATGGAATATCCGTGCAGCGATTCTCGGTTTTCCGGCATACAAGGACAAATCTTTTCATACTATCAACAGGCTTTGAGGAGCTCAGGAGGAAGAATGATTCACATGACGAGGGAAACTTACATCTGAGAATTAGTCACTCGAGGAGCGGGTGCAAACGTAATCATGTGATGTGAAATCCACGGCTGAAGGCCCATCTAAATACGATTTAATCACTCGACTGATCTGAAAAATGGCGACCAAACGGTTTCCTCCTGAACTACAAGCCGAGAGAAATTCGTGGGATGAGAGCCGATGACGACACAGCTGTGGAGTGCCTCTCGGCACTTCGGAATACATTCACTCCTCTTATAAGAAGAAATCTAGGTCGAAAAGTGCTCAGAGTTCCTCGAAATTCAAAAATCAATAACGTACAAGAAGATACATGTGCAACACATAAATCAGGGAATATGGCTCGATCTGTCCTTTTGAAACGGTTTAACCACGAATTTCACTAAGTGCTTCTTCGCGGTGCTGATTTACAGACATTATTGACCCAAGAGACGTAGACCGATCACCACTAAAGATGTGGTTCTACCGAAGAGTTACCTATCTTAAGTCCTCGGCAAAACTGTACTAAATTGTACTGTCCCAGACAACTGGGGAGAATCGGTGATAGTGCCCATTTTCAAAAAAGGGGCGCGTAGTGAGTGTGGTAGCCACAGGGGGATCAGCTTGACCCCGGTTGTAACGAGACTGTTGGCGTCAATTGTGCTTCGTCGCCTTACGGTGGCTCGTGAGATACTGACCCGAGAGCAGCAAGCGGGATTCCGGCCTGGTAGGGGTTACAATGACCAAATCTTCACACTTCGTCAGGTACTAGAACAACGCCATACGTATAAGCGAGCCACAACCCTGGTATTCCTGGATTTTCGAGGCGCATTCGACTCGGTTGATCGGTTTGTTCTTCTTGAGACGCTTGCCCACCAAGGAATGCCCCGGAAGTTTGTAAACATAATACGTTCTTTGTATTCTCAGACTTCCGGACATGTGAGAGTGTACGGAGAGCTCTCCAAAAGCTTCCGCACACAAAGCGGTGTCCGTCAG